CACTAGCCGTGAACCATCTGGAAGTTTCGTTACGGATTTCCCCTACCGTCCCCCATGGACCTGTTTTAAATCTTGTCCTCCCTTACTCAAATCTACTTTTAGGCCAGTGTTCCTACATCCATCTATGGACACATGATGGCCGGCGCAGTTCCCCGTCCTGAATGAAATCCCTAAACCGGACGAAACCACAGATCCAGTCAAGCTGCCAAGAGGGATCAGTGACGTTGAGGTCAAGTATCCCCTCAGTTGCGCGCTAATCTGGTGACTGGCACGATTGGCTCGTGGGTGTTTCTTTACTGCACCGACTACGTTGTAATGGCTGACGCGGGAGGTTGACCTGCGGGAGCGCCGGGGACGACGCTCAAAAGAGGAGGGAGGCTATGTAATACGATAGTGGTTTATCCCTCGGTTTTGGTGAGGCGCAACTTTTGTACTTCGAATTAGCCCCCCTGTACCTCGCTGGGTGGGCTGGCCTTTTGGGCTATGCCAATAGCCCAGACACCTTCTCCGTGCTGAATATATGTGTTCTGCCCAAGTATTGTGTCTTCTTTCGTCTTAAGGGAGTCTCGGGACGCTACATCTCCATAGTTATAAACACTTACTAAAAATATAGGATTAATTTGGCGACGCGTCTTTAAACACAGCGAACGGATTGCTCATCTAACTCGATACTAAAGAACATAAACTTATACTCTTAAGATTTTTAACTGTGCACTAAAACAATAAAATACATCTAGTCTAGTCGTTTAAGTTGTTCTAGATTTTCTGGGCTATTTTGCATAACCCCTCTGCCAAAACATTTTTAGTATATGCTTCATACCAAGGCGACACTATCAGTTTCACACGGTTAGCCTATAAGAGCAAGGTGTCTTTCTAAAAGCATGGTTTCTCATGGGAATATATTTTGTGATCGCACAGCCCGTTGGGAAGCTATAGAATGCATCCTAGGTCGTAGTGGCCCCCTTCAACGTAGCGACTTCGAGCCGTCTTCGGAGGTTTGGTTGATGCACATATTATTTTCAGTTGTTTAATATGATCGCGCAGCATGTTCGAGTATTGGTTGTGGGCGCCGGCGGCCTCGGCTGTGAAATATTAAAGTCTCTTGTAGGTCATTTTATTCAATGATTTAAGGCGTCTTAGGCCTTGATGGGGTTTTGCCAAATAGATGTAATTGATATGGATACAATAGATGTTTCTAACTTAAACAGACAGTTTCTCTTCACGGAGAAGAATGTTGGCCGTTCGAAAGCCGAAGTTGCCGCTGATTTTATTATGCGTCGTATAGACACCTGCAAAGTTATTCCACATTTCAAAAAAATCCAGGATTTTGGTTCCAATTTCTACAAGCAGTTCGACATCGTAATTTGTGGACTTGATTCCGTTGTAGCTCGTCGCTGGATTAATAGTATGCTTGTAAGGGTTCTCTAATATTTTATAGCATAATTATTGTGAAAGCACTTCACTATTTTTTTACTCAGGCAAGTTTAGTGGAATACAAGGAAGATGGAACTCCAGATTTTCACACCATGATACCACTAGTTGACGGTGGCACAGAAGGCTTCAAGGGGCATGTCATTGTTGTCCTTTTCGGTGTTACCGGATGCATTGAATGCAGCCTCAATTTGTACCCACCCCAAGTTAATTATCCCCTTTGTACGATCGCACACACACCAAGGCTGCCGGAACACTGTGTAGAGTTCGTACGACTACTCCTCTGGCCCAAGGAGCAACCCTTTGGACGTGAGTCCTGTTTTTTACCTTCTGGATAAGGAGTATTATGACTATTCAAATCCAATTTTACGTAAAGCGGATGTCAATATTGATGGGGATTCTCCGGAGCACCTTGAGTGGATTTTCAGTCGTTCGTGCGAAAGGGCAAAGGAATATGGTATACAAGGAATAAGTATGCGATTAGTAAAGGGTGTCATTAAGAGGATTATTCCTTCAGTTGCTTCTACGAATGCTGTCATTGCATCAGCGCTGGTAACTGAAGTAAGTATTTGGTTTCATCCTGCGCTATCTCATGTTGGGCTAGTAGCGTGTAAAATGAGGTGATATTTATTTCAGGCTTTTAAAGTGGTGACCATTTGCTACGATTACTTGAACAGCTGCATGAACTTTTCCGACGTTGAGGGAATATACACCTACACTTTCCAAATAGAACGCAAAGTGAGTTGACACTGCTGAATATTGCGGCACCTTACGATTCCCTCCACCAATATGTTTTTCATTATTACAATTATTAGGACGATTGCCTTGTGTGCAACAATGTTCCAAAAAATCTCGATTTTTCGTCAAAAGCTACTTTGCGGGAAGTCGTAGAGTACTTAAAGCACGATCCAGGACTGTAAGTTATTTACGCTATTATTATTTCATAAAAATAAGATAGTGCACAGGATTACTATTGTTTCTTTAGGCAAATGCAGTCTCCCACCATTACAACACTACTGAATGGATCTAACCGTACTCTGTTCGTCGATTTTGACGAAGCAATGCAAGGTCTTCGAGCTAATCTACAAAAATCTCTCGACGGCAAGTCCCAATCTCTTTCCTCTCCATTCACTTTTATTCTAGCAAATTAGGTTAATGCAAAACGTTGATCGTGATTGGCGTATAATTATTGGGCTTACTTCTTCATTTATAGTTATGCTCTAAAACTCGTCTAAGTTTTGCCCTTTTAGAACTATCACTGTCTGACGGTCAAATATTGACAGTGACCGATGTAACAACGTCAAAACCGCTCTCTTTTCGTCTTTGTTTCACTGACAAAGACTGATTCCAGTTGCCTTATTATTTGATATTATCTGCCAGAGTTGTTCTCCCCATGCTTGTTTGTTTTGACCTTTTTTGCAATACAGTTGTCATTTGGACAGATACAGCTTTTTTACCTGTCTGGATAATGATGAACTCTACAGGCTCAAGTCGTTATTTTGCTGCCATTATTGCTATGCTTCATAGGATAGAACTGCATATTTAATGCATTATGCTTCCATTATGCATATATTCGCTAAATTGTGGTTTGTTAATACTCCATAGTCAACATTGGTGATTTTTAATTCACTTAAACGAGTGATTCTCACTATCTCCGCACGTCGATTTACTTCGCGACATCGGACAAATTTCAAACACCAGCTGAAGTACATTAGTCTCACTGATGAGCCATTCGCCCTGGCTCTGTCTCCAGAGGCGGCGGCTCACGCGCCAAACTCCCTGCCCCCGCCCCTTGACCCCGCGCCCCGCGGCAGTACCCCCTGGTTCACCCTCGACCTCGCCACTACCCTCTTTATCGATGCGCGCAGCCCCTGCGAGTACGCTCTCGATCACATTGAGGGCGCTATCAATATCCCTATCCTCTCCGACCGGGAGAGGATGGAGGTGGGAAAAATTTTCTCCTCAGGTATTACAAATTTCTCCGTACCATTGAAAATGGATCGCATGCTTATTCTTTTATGCAGTCGAACTGGAAGCTGCGCAAGCAATCTAGGCATGAATGTCTAAAATACCAAAGACAGTTGGTAAAGTGTTTACCTCTGGTTTTGTAAGTTATGCTGCTGTGTCACAGTATGCTATGTAATGCCAAGCTGTCTCCCAAGGTATGGCTGTTTGAATTATTGACGAAACAATTTACACGTCGCCTCCATTTTATTGATAATCGGAACTCTAATTTTCAAATTTAATAGTCAAATATTTATCAATCAAACGCTTTTAATACGTTTAAGTTGCCCATATCAATTTCATGATGGGATTTTAGCCCAAAAAAAAATACAATTTGACACGTGAAAGCTAAAATAGGTAGAAGCTGGAAAGATTAGAATAACAAATTGAAATCCACGTTTGATCCAACGTAGTATTATTTAAAGAGATCCGATAATTTTTTTAAATTTTTATAGCATCCTGTACTACACTCTAAAACTTAGATGGAAGACGATTGAATATATGATCGAAGCAACGAGCATTTTGCATCTTTTTCAATAAGTGATCCAATGCTTTGAATTAGAAGTCTTACTAGCCAATGCTTGGATAGTTTAGTGAACATTATGAGCGGCGAATTACAGGTGTGGCTTCTGCGGCATTCCGGACCGTTCCTCTTCGTTGTGCCTGCTAAGTGGTTACATCAGAAATTCAATGAAAGTGAATGTTCCAGTAGCTTTGAAACAGTTACCTGTGTTAAGCATTGCTGCCAAGTCGTTTGCCCTCCGTGATGAAGTATGTACTTTTACTGCAGTCGCATTCTCACTGGACTGTTGTGTATTGACTCCTCTGAAAACTTCGTACTTAAAATAGCTACTCTGTAATCATGACTTCAAAAACTTGTTTTGAATAAGATGTGTTGTGATGCAATGCTTCAGTGGGTTACCACTATATATTTGAGTAAAAAAATGTGGTCTGTTACATCTCAGATGAATGCTTATTTCATTACCTCCCAAACGTCCATGTTTTGTCGGATTTTTTTACGAAAACCCCAATTCGCTTATGTGCTACTACGGGCCTCATCAGTGCATCAGCTATTGTTCCAAGACCTCTCTTCGGTGGTGTGATTCATTTCGATGGTTCAATTACCGTTGGAAATCGATGCATTGAGACTTCCATCAATTCAGTCTGCTCGTTTACTCCCTTCCCTCCCCCTTCCTCCAGGTGACGTTGTGGAGGCCCGTCTCCTCGGTGCCCGTTTTGCTTGCGCCAATATCGCCGAGTCTTTGAGGCCGGGGGGCCCACTTACACGTTTCTTCGAGACGTCGGACCAAGAAACTTGCTCACCCCTGCTTATTGTGGTCTATTGCTTCCGCGGCGGTCAGCGCTCCATGGGGTTGGGGACCATCCTGTCGGAGCTGAACTGTCCCAGTTGCGAAGTGGCCTGTCTTGCCGGTGGTTATCGGGCTTGGCGACGCCTCCTCCTCCGTCAGCTGGGTGTCTGGCCCACTCTCGTTGCTCCCGGTGGACTTGCTGGGACCTTATGGGTTCTCTCCAGCCTCACAGGTATATTAACAAGCTTCATTTCCGCGCCTACGCCCACTTAAAACGAACACACTGATCTCTAGTCAAACGTTCGTTGGATCCTACGCGTTCAGGACTCGTTTAGACATTAATAACATGCTGGAGTTCTATGTGTCTTCTCCGTTCTATCAGGTGCCATTTTAAGTATCACTCACACATCTTAACACACGGTTAAGACCTGGATTATGGTTAATTTCTCTGATATTTAACCCCCATTGTGCGGTTTGTTATGGGATCGATGGCTACTATTCTTGTGAAGGACACTTTCATTTTTCTCATGGTGGACTAATGTGCACTGGTCGTGTTTATCAGCGCTCATTGTAGAAATATTCAAGCAGTACTCTTTTATTGAAGTACAATGTGGTAATGTTTACTGTACTGGGGAGTTGGCTTCAAAGTGCAAGCAAACTTTCATAGTTCAAATCCAGATAATTTGCATAATCGGTCTTTACTTCTACCTGTGGCAAGAATTGGCCTTTTGTATCCCAACGTCGACCTAATAAATGTATCACCGGTCATCCTCAAGCGATCTACTTACCACCCACTTCATCCCCGGGAGACTGTTTGCTTTGTGTGTGGTGGAATTTAGACATTTTTCACTAGAAATTTTTCACCTGATGACAGCCAGACCTGCTGCAAATGCAAGGAGTGAAACGCAAACTTTTTCAGAAACAGCTAGAGCTAGTTAGGCTGTGAGAGAAGTCATCGCTATTTGTACAAGAGAACTCAAAGCCGCATGCCGTATACCGCCAGGGTGATCAATGAGAGTTTGTACTTGAGGGTGAGAAGGGGAGGAAAGAAGACACTGTCCTACCTCATCTATTCCCCTCATGTTTTTCTGAGTGTTTATCACCTTTTTTCGGCTTTGGACAGTTTCATGCCAACTAGGCATTTGCGGAATAAAAGTGAGATAGAAAATGGGGTGGGTAGAACTGTTTTCTATTTGATTACAAAAAAAAACTTTTTGTAAAGGTGCGATTCACAGCAGGCCAGCGTCTTGTTGGGAGAGGATTAGCTATTATAATGGTAGTTATTTCAACCGATCAAGTAGTTCAAGAAGCTTTTATTATGAAATTGCGCTTTTCCACTTACATTATGCTAGTTTGATTGGCTACCATGTATGCGTATAAAAAGTTAACAGCATACTCAGGTATTCATTAGTAGCTTTATATTTGTGTCATGTGGAGCATTTCGTTTACCTCTTTTTCACTTATCATTATGGTGGAAATCATACGAACACTTGCAACGCCCGGAGACTTCCCTGAAAATGGAAGAAGGCATAATACTCGGGCATAATATATGCATTTGACATACCGTAGGGCTTGGGGCTACTGGAATAGTTTGGAGACCTACTCACCCGGCGAACGTACAATGGTGGAGTACCTAAGTGGCCCCTTTACCAAAACTGAGAGTTAAACAACTAACGTATTGCATAGCTCCTCTCTTTTGAACGTCCTTGGTCAACCTCCCGTGTCAGCCATCGCAATGTGATCGGTGCTGTAGAAAAGGCATTTACAAGCCAGCTGTGCCAGTCATTGAGTTTTCATGCGATTGAAAAGAAACTTGGCCGTAACGTCATTGATCCCACTTGGCAATTCCACTGGATCGGAAGTTCCGTCCTGTTCGGGAACTGTGTTGAGGGAAGAGGAATGTGCCGTCCATTACACGTGCCCATTGGTAGTCACAGTAACACTAGCCTAAACCGAGACATATTTAACAAAGGACGGAATTGAACGTAGATCCGTCGGGGTAGGGTTTTGCGTCCATCCCTTCCTGACACTTCTCACCTCAATGCTGTAAAGGCATATCTACCTGGGCTCTATCCAGCTAGTAGAGAGGTGGAGGAGGTATTGCGTGTTCACTTAAATGGCATCTTCATTTAGGTACAGTAGATAGCTCCGTAACGAACTTTTCCAGTTGGGTCACAGCTAGTGTTGCTTCAGTTGTTAATAGCTTTCCTGGAGGCCATGGGATTAGGGTAGCTGCCGAAGGTAGATGTAGTTTTTAGCTCTTCTGTTAGGAGTCGCCACATATTCTCCCATCTGCAGCATTTGCACTTCTTCCGCTCCGCTATTGTCTTTCAGCATTATAAACTAGGACAGGTTCTTTAAGATTAGGTTTGCTTCCCACTGCCAGCAATGTAGCGCCTTGAGATATCCCTGAAGACGGAAGAAGACATAATACTCGGTCAGAGTATCTCTATTTGATATACGGTAGGGCTTATGTCTACTGGCATGGCCCGGAGTCCAGTCCACCCGGCGAAGGTACAATGACGGAGCCCCTGAGTGGCCCATTGCCAAAACCGAGAGTTAAACGACCAACGTATTGCACACTTTTCCAATATTTGTTTTAACTGCTGTTAATTTTAACTTGCTGGATGCGGATGCTCATAGTGAAATTCAAGTTGATGAGTACTTGAATCCCCTTGTTCATGCCCTTGGCGATATGCTGATGGTTGTGTCTGTTCCTATGTGTGTAAATAGCGTTGAGAAATGCTTAAATTTACCTCATTAGTTGACTAGAATAAACCTTAAATTGTCTGATGTTATAAATACCTGACCTTCATCTGAAGTACAATGAATTGTCACCTAGGGGAACTGTGTTCAACTTTCCATTCACAGAAGCATGAGTTGACCGATGTGAATTGACAACATTCACTTGTGTTGGCAAAATATCGGTTCTACAACTGCAGTCACCATTTTAATTGCGAGGAACCAGTGACTCGAGAGGCCTATTTTAGCTATCAATTCTTACGGACGTGCATAAAACAAATATGCTTGAAAACTGACCCTATAAATATCTTTATTAATGTACTAGCGTGTGAGAAGCTCTTACGCTGATGTAAATCTCATTTAGAGTCCAAGTGATTAGTTTGCCAGGAGTTCCCTTTTCTGTTACTACCTTATCCTCAAACTCTTTGAAATCCCTTAGGTATATTCAACTAAAGGTTAACAAGTATATAATCTGCTTGGTAATTTTAAGCCTGTCTATGCAAGTATCTAATAAAAACGAGCCTGCTCATGCTCTTAAGCCCAATAGTTTTGCAATTGACCTATTAACACTTCTTAGGTTGCGGAAAGACGCTGTTGTTGGAGGAGCTCGAGGCAGTGGGCGAAATCACCCTGAATCTAGAGCGGATGGCGGGGCACAAGGGATCGATGTTTGGCGGTGGGGGGATGCAACCGACCCAGCGAATCTTTGACGCGCGTCTGCATAGCGCCTTGCAGCGCTGTCTCACAGCGCCGCACGTCTGGACTGAGTGTGAGTCGCGCAACATCGGACCTGGGTGCAAACTGGGAGATGGCTTCTGGCAACGATTGCGAGGGACCCGCGCTACCGTACGCGTTTGGCTCAGTGTGCCTCTCGAAGCGCGTGTTAATTGGATTCTACACGACTACGCAGCCTGGTTGCATAACTCAGAGGAGAATATGGAACGGATCTTCGAATCGTAAGTCGTCTGTCCTCTTTGGCGTTTTCTTCTGTTGCCTGTATTTCGCAATAATTTTACATTATTTGGATGTGTATCTTAGGCATTTGTATTTGGTAACGAATACATCATTTTTTATTCACAAATCAGCTGCCTTTTATCTTTACTAACTGTATTGAACTTTTATGAAAAAAGTGATGTTGATTAGAAGCTAGACTTCATTTTTTAGAGCGACTTTAAAGCATACTCACCAACGAATTAATTTGGGTGGATCCGATATAGTCTTTAGTTTGCCGTCGCCGGAGCGGTGCCACCAGGCACGTATATACCATTTCGTTAGTTTTAGGTCATCTCAAATAATTTACCGAAAAGAACACCGTGTAATTCCCGATATGGATACCGAGGGTATCTCTAACCGCTACCTAAAATGTATAACCGTGTTTTCCCGCCTCATTCTAGAATGGCAAACTACCACAGCAAAAAACGCCTCGAATCTTGGCGCAAGTTGGTGCGAGGTGGAGATTACGCCGCTTTTGTTGCAGAAGTCCTGGAGCACCATTATGATCCGCTTTATAAGAAATCGCGGGGTTCTATGTTGTGTCACTACGCAGACATGGGTCTGCTGCATTGCATCGAAGTACCTATCGTCGACCGCGCCTACTTTCGGAAGGAAGTCATCCCCCATCTGCAACACCTCTCCATACATAGCAGTAGGACCGATTTTACTCATCGAGATAATGCTCTCCTTTAACCACCTGTATCAAATTTGTATTGCAACTTTAATAAAAGTTTTACCAGAAAGACGTGTTTAACTTGATTTCCACACAGGATTCAATCCCTTACCTTGCTTTTTTTTTCTCCAAACATTTAAGGCGAAGCTCTGTTCCCCGCGAGGAATCTTGCGACTGTTTGTCATTCCGTCCATCAATGAATTTCCATTTTTTTGGTAAGCTAGATCTTCATGAACTCACAATCACAGCTATGTGATACAGATTAGGATAGATCTCTTTTTTAACGTTGTATATAGATGATTTCTCCCTAGAAAATGTTTTTGCATTGAGGTCCATCAAAGCATTTCAAACCTCGGGTGGTCTTCAGAGGCATTCGGGTATGACCTACCCCCACAAATTGAGCTGGCAATGGTTGATTGAGAAGTACGTCGATCCTAATCAGTATACCGTTGACCCTATTCGAAAGATACGCACTGGTGGACGTGGTCCTGATGGTAAGTCTCTCTATCAGCTACTACGGAACAAATCACTTTCAGATGCTGATTCGCTATTTGTTCTGTAGACGTAACTACGCATTGAATTTAGGTTAGCTGGTATGTACATAGGGGCGTCTCGGCTACTCGGATGCTTCACTTTTATTCAGGCAATTGTGGCAGTCATACCCACCAAACTATGTGGTCTTCTACTTGTACAGAAATTTCTAACTTTTGGACGAAATTTGTTTCCTGTTCTGATTCTTTCGCAAACAGGTCACATTCAATACAAGCACGTCACTACGGGACTTAACATGCCATACTTTCTCGTTGATTACGTACATTCGCGGCAGATGGAAACCAAGGAGGTCTACGAGGAAGTCATTCTCAAGGTAGTTTTCACATCTTGGTTGGTATCATATATTCTGCTGCAAAAGCCGAATCCTGAAAGTGTTCTGATGGGGGTCTACTCCTAACTATTTGTTTTTTTTTCTTTCAACCGACTGTAGGCTTAATAAGTTGAATAGTTCACTTTGCAGCCGCAAACTCCAATGGACGCGAGGATACACCAACTTTACAAATATTTACTGAAGTCCTTCGTCCCTTTGAATGTAGTATTTATGTTTTTGACCTGCAATTGATCATGCTTACAGATTGCCAAAAACTGGTGGCGCGACCCATATCTCGCATTGACTGCTTCTAGTGAAGTAAAGAGGTGGATTATCGCTACATCGAACATGAAAGAGGGAGATGTCATCCGTTCTCACTGGGAGATTCCCAGCATTCCTGGTGGGTTCAGCGAATGGTCCTCCCTTCCCTTCCTACAACTCATGTAATATTTCCAAAGCTCTATCGCTATCTCCTTTACTGTTGACATAGTTTTAAATTTCCATTAATACAAATTTCACCAATCTCGTAGACTGCAGGACAGTTCCAATCATATTCAATGTGAACTAAATTCGGTAAGTCGCATAACTGTCACGACTACCCATGAATCCATATAAGTGATCTGTTTGAAGTTATTAACTAATAATAACTCACTTCATTTTTTACAAAAACGTTCATGAACTTTTTAGCGAATTACATCTATGACCTGGGTTAGCTAGAGTGTAGAAAAGTTCAGTGGATCAACATGTGTGAATGTGTTTTCGTTACAGTCTTGCCTGTTCTGGGCGACGCGTATCCAGTGGGAGCTCTACCTGTGGGCACGCAGGTCTGTCTGATCGAAACGCATCCGGGCGAGGGAGCGGTGATTTGTCGAGCAGCGGGCACCAGCGCCACCGTGGTGCGACGTGGCGCTGCAGTACATGATTTGTCCGGTCTGCGCACTCAAATGGAAGATATGCTCTCTGCCGAGCCCATCGATGACTGCTTCACTTCCACCTTGCAACTTGACTCCTCGCGTCGCGAAGTTCGCCTCCTGCCTACTTGTGTAGTGGTCGTTGGCCAGGTCTCCAACGAGTTGCACAACAGGCAACGCTATCGCAAGTTTGGCGAAAAATACTGGCACGGGATAAAACAGCGCAGTGGTCTCTATCAGAAGAAGACTGGTCGATTTGGAAGGAAGATTCGTCCGGTAGATCCGCTACTTGATTGCACCCAAGATGAGGTCCCAGACGGCGAGATCAGAGCAAAACTCACGCTACCGGAGCGTCCAGAGTTCGAACGAAGGCGAGTCAGAGAGATCTTTGCAGACTCTTTGCTTGTCAAGCGACCCAAGACAAGGCCAGTACCGGGACCCAACAATGCTCTACCACATACCCTTCCTCGATTCACCTGGCGTCACTGTTAGAGTTTACACCTGTACTTAGGAATTTTGATGACGCTCTAAACCTATACATACTGTCCGGCGCTCGATTGATAAATGGGAGGGAGTAGGTAGATGGAATCATGCATTGGGAAATAAACACTATACAAATTTATTTAGGAGTGCCAGTGTCAGGATATGCTTTCCTCAAACCAGGAGCGAACAAGATCGACAGCAATGTCCTTAGAGGTCTGTCTGTGCTTCTTGTACAATTTTGGGATGTCGAAGCGCAGTTCTGCGATGGTCTCACAATTGGCACCGAACTCTCGAACGGTTTTCACGATGTACTGAAAGGACGGCATGGGATTGTCGGTACAAGGCATACCTTCCTAGTCGTTGTTTTGTGTAGAGAGTACACTTGTTCTCTGCTCATACTCAGGGCAACTTTAAGAAATTTGATATCGGTGCCTGAAGAAGGGAAGTTGTAGGCATTACTACGAATACAAACCTTTTGTCTCGTCTGACGTCCCGAATGGTGGATTCATGATGGTCGTATCGAATGGCTTAACTCTTGGAGGGGACAAACTAGTTACATCGCAGTGAACTAGGTTTATGGCACCTGATGATTCTTGAGGGAAATTCTCCAGGTTTCCTTGAAAGTCGGCAATGGCGTCTTCATCAATGTCAAAACCGACCACGAAACTCGAAAAATAACAAGTGGAAGAGAGGAACCAACCTGGCCCCCAGCAAATGAGCTCCTAGTGCCAATATGCCGGGGCCACATCCAAGATCCCCCACGATTTTGTCTTCGATTGCACCGTGGCGAGTCTGGATGTCAAATAATATGTCGCCTGTGGAGAGCGCTAAAATAAAGAGCAGGTTACCGGCTACGCGAGCAGATGTTGGATACTGTTCCAGATATTGTTTTGGAACGGAGAATGACTCCAGATTTTGGAGTTTCATATAGAGCTTCTTTTTGTTCAAACAGGAATGCGACATCCCGTATTCTGTAAAATACCTAATACCTAAAAATACAGCATAAAATGGGAGACTGATGCAAAAATAGGTATGAAAACAAATAGCAAAATGAGGCACTGAAAATATTTCGACATTACTTCCACAGTAAAAGTACTACATCTAAAAGTAAGTGTAAAAATTTCCACGCATTCTTTAACATAGACCGGAACTTTAATCACTAAATATGGTCATAGTAATGCTGGTATCTTCGTAAATTAGGGGCTTGATGCCGGAATGGCCTATGGATGTTCCTAAGTGAAAGTTCCAACTCTTCGTTACTATGACGCAGGACGAACCCACGTGCTAAACTACCAGAGTAACACAACAAATCAACATTGTGAGTAGAATACTTTATTAACCACTGAAAAAATCATGGTTGGCAATTTAAACAAGAAATTACCCAAAAAACACAAACACCATTAACCAAAGGAAACCTGGCTACAAACCAGACCCCAGAGCCGGTAAAAATTAAAACAATTTTCAAAGGTTTAGGAAATTTGTATTAGCTCTAAATAATATGCACTTAAAAACGCATGTCCAGTGGATAAATATGGCTGGAGAAGTATAAACTACAAGAGTAAAATCAGTTAGGTTTATGTGAACGACTTAGACACTACTAAAGTGACGCATGGAAATCGACATAATAATGCATATTTTGAATAAATTGCTGTTATTGCTACACTACAAATGAGCGAATCAACTTTGAGTAGGGACAATTGTCTATACAATAAACTAGTGTTGTTTATTTTGGGTCAATGCTACCTTATGCGGATGAACTGAATGACGCGAAATGTTACCAGAACACAATTTTGAGAAGCCACCTGTAGTGACCACGAGAGTTGTTAAACCAAGTCGTGGGAAGTTGAAACTAATCTAAGGCTTTCATACTTTTCTCCTATTCGCCTCCATTCGCAAACACCTTGGTTGACGCAACTGATTTGTGGAAGGCATGATATACTGCTAGGATGAGGTTTGTGTGAGATTTTACCGGCCGCACGGTGATCGATATTCTAACCCTTCTGAGGCAGAGGTGGCGTTGGCAAAATCACGGAGTGTGTCGGGTTGATCTGCTTGTGGTCTGGTTAGGTGTAGTAGACTAAACATGCCCTTTGCCGGGGCAGCGAACATCCACGCGGCATCTCTGTTATCAGTAACCACAGTATCATGCGACAAGTTTAACTTTGGCGAAATATTTTCATCTAGGAGCTACTCAGGTTCAGCCATCGTTTCTTGATTCACTTTCTTCTAGAAGTTGTCAAATAGGACCTTCTGTATTTTTTAACACAGAGGTTGCAGCACTTGGAAGGTGGTAAATTGTGGAGAGACTAGCGCACTGATTGAAATCTCCCTTTCCCTTCTCAGGACGTTGGGTCCCAATCTACTACTGTCTATTTTCAGGTTAACTGAGCAGTTGGATCTGAATTCATTTATGGAACTGGCATGTAATCGCAGCTTCATCTCATTTAAGTAGATTTATATGATACCTCTAAACATTAAGCCTTATACATGAATTAACATAGTTATTGGGATCTGATTTTGAAGAACGCTTCTCCATCGTTTGGGATAGTCGTACTTATTATCGTACGGGTAAGTTCAAGTTGGACAATTAAGGAAATTAAGTGGTATTAGCGCCATTGTCTTGTCGGCATCCTTACAATTTGACAAAGACAAAGTATCGCCGGGTAACTCGATGAAATTTCATAAAAAACAGGACTGGCCAATCCCTGTCAGCTGCGGTACTGACACCTTGTGGGGTAGAGAATAAGTAATTTGCATACAACAATACGATACAATACATACAGCAACAATACTTACCAAAGTCGCACCATTTAAGACTGAAATGAAGTCGAATCGCTTATTGTAAATAATAAGTCCAATTTCATTGGATTGACAAAATATTAGCTGAGCGTAAACACTCACCAGCCCAACACGGCACGGACCAGACACCTCTATGCATCACACACACTTAAACGGAGAAGCTGTGACTGCCTCAATCAACGCTGAAAAACTTGTCGCCAAATGCGTAACTACACCGTTTAGTATACTACTCGCCCCCGACTGATTAAAACGACATAAACTGAAACGCCTCCCTAACGCCAGAATAGCAGGGAAACAGGAGAAATTCATCTTTTGCCAAATTGTTTGTAGCTGCACAGCTCCTGGTCACTGTCTAAGATGACTGTCACCAGACGCTTTTATGATTACCTGGTTTAATTCACAGGAACAAATCAGTTGACATGAAGTAGGAATTGCAGAGATTACCCGCTCGGATAGTTGTTGGAAGATGAATAAATCATGAGGACAAAATTGTCGATGATACAGGCTGCTTTAAGGCAAGATGCGTGCGCGTATAACGGCCGCCTCACGTTGTGATTCACTTTATGGAGTTGTCTGGTCTACCTAACTAAACCCGTCCAAAAACAGCGACGGCATTCATCTGCGCCAGTTGTGATATACCGCTTGCTCCAGTGGGGCTTTGTCGTACACAACATAGTTTTACAAACGCTTAAAATATTTTTTACAATTTGCATGTCGATCTCTTAAGCACCAGCTTTGGTGTCCGCATTGTCAAGGTAGTCAGTTCGTCAAGAATACCTTTTTTTTAAACGCTCTCTGTGTAATTAAATTGATAGCACGTGTAGTATATTAATGAGTTGTTTAACTTCCGGTCTTAGCAACGAGCCCCTTAGGGGGTCCCTTACTGTACATTCACCAAATTTTTTTGTAGGTCGACAGTACCTATTCTACTGGGTATTGTTTTCTTCTGTCTTCAAGGTAGTCTTGGGGCGGAAAGAGAACTCGGATCCAAAAGGACATCTGGCCTGATTTCCAGCGCTAGGTGATAAATAGCGTAACGGAAGAAGTGCGTATACTGTGAATAGAAGAATTAGTGACAATCCCTGACAGAAGGGTAGAAAACGACGTGTGCCTTCGGCAACCGTCCCAGCCCAGTGCTTCTGCAGGAATGCAAGTCACAACTGAAGGAACACTAGCAATGGTCCGCCTAAAGTTATCAATTAAGTGTACATGCGATACCTCCTCCACCACTCTACTAGCTGAGTAGAACCTGGATAGGTGACTGGGCGGCAATAAAGTAAAAAAGGAGGGACAAGGAGAAACAGGCACGAAATTTTATCCCCAAGAAACTATTCTAAAAACTGGCCTGTATTAAAGGACTCCGCCAGTATTCTTACGACTAGCGATGGACGCACGAGATGATTTGGACATGCCCTCCTTCCAAGCACAGTTTTCAAACAGGGCGAAACTCCAGATCCAGTGTAATTGCCAAGGGGGATCAGCGAAGTGGCAATCAGACATCTCAGCTGCATGCAAATTCAACAACTAGTGGGGATGGTTGGTGGATGCGTTGCTTACTGCACCAACCACGTGACGACTGACGTGGAAGGTTGACCTTGGGGAGCGCCAAGAATGACGTCAGAAACATTCGTTTTGGCAATGGACCGTTCAGGAGCTCCACCATTGAATCTTCACCGGGTGGCCTGGCCTCCGGGTCATACCAATAGCCCCAAGCCGTACTATACGTCGACGACACATACTCTGCCCAATTATTACGGCTTTATCCGTCTTAAGGGCAGTTCTCAGAGCGCCACATGCGCTTATTGTTCTGATACACGATATGGATGCCAAAAATACTCTAAGGGACGGTTCGAAACGAAAAGACCATTAAAACTTAATTGCTGAAGGCAATGTAAACGTTAGCGACCTAAAATTTCAACGGCTAGATGAATAACCCCCAGACTTGGAAAATGGTAAGATATCCATATATCCTATACTATTTTTGGTTACTTGTGCTACCAAAAAGAGCATTCAGGTTGAAATGCAGAAACTATAACTATGAATGAGACAATTGAACTCCTGAAACGCTTGTCTGCGCACACGCGCAAACCTAGACATTTACAAATATTTTCTTGAAGAACTGAGGAACTTAGAAGTGGGAGGAAGGAAAAAAAAACGAAAGACGTAACGACAGCATTAGCTGCGCTCATCATTTCCAATCGGGGTATTCGTTATTGTTCCAGCCCCGAGAGCCTCCCGGCGCCAAGTAGATACGTCTGCCACGGAAGAATATTGAGACTATGCCCATATATGCAGTCCGTGCAACACCTTCCTTGAAATCCTCCATTGCTCCCAGCAATCGAGCCGCAGCAACAAAATCCGCTTGTGTTTTGTACTCAAACCGACACGTAGTGTCCTGAGGCGGAGTTTGGGCCAAATGTGGAAGTTGAGAGAGATTATCCAACAACACTGATTTGTTATAGACCTCAGTAAGGAATTGAGGATCGTAAATATCAGGTTTGAGGGTTATACGTAGGAGGGAGGAATTAAAAACAAAGGATTTGTCATTGAGGTGATTGAAACGTAGGTAGGAGTCAAAAAATTGGCCGTTGGAGACGCCCTTTTGACCGAAAGTGTGGGAGCGCGAGACCTCAGGTCGAATGCATGCCCTGCCGCGGCGCACTGCCCTCGTGCGCATGAACTCATCCCAGTAGGCCGCCGGCCACTTTTCCCGCAACTCTTCGTCCCACAGCTGTCGTGTGAGCATCCAACCCAGACCAGGAAAGAAGTCACTCCTGTTAGCCGAAAGATAACACAACTGTCATGCTAACCGAAATTGACCATCATAGTGGAGTGAATATGTAAGTAAATTCTACGAGGAATAAGCTTGGGATTCAACACTTACCCAGTAAGTGATTTTTTGTCAAATAAACCATGATGCAATCATTTGCATGCAACTCGGCACAGGACGTTCTGGCATGCAATCAAATGAAACGCTTCCAGGGTGGATTACTTCAACAGTCTACGATTCCGTATTTAATGATCATGAAGGCAAAATTGAAGGTCACCTGACGAGGAATTGCATGAGAAATAGCTATGTAATAGTTAAATACAAAACAACGCCTAAATTTTTGCGCTTCGCACTTTTCTGCGCCACTAGTCCACGACTGATAAGAGCGAATAAAAGCAAAAAGGTACAGATCGTTGACTTCCAAGATGCTGGCCATTGTCACCCAACCCTAAGAAGATAAAGTTAGTTAACGGCTAGTGGACGTTGAAATTAGTACGGGAAGCACCAAAAAGACTGATGCTTGCATAAACAAAGATGAAAATGTACAAAACAATTAATTTCCTATGGTAGCATTACAAAAAAGACTTCACGGTTTCCCCATTCTTTGACTTATCTCGATTTTGACTAGGACACTATTGGCCGGATAGTAATACATTTAAGTGTTACTTCCCACTTATGCAAATGAAAGTGCAATTTTTTTGACGACAGATTCACGTTCTTATGTTAAATAACGAAATAAAGAATATCGAAGAAATGCTCGTCAAGCAAATCCACTTTGTCGTATTAAACTGCCCTGCATTCGGGAATCTATTACATGAACATGAAAAATAGCATAAAAATCTGAATGGGCATCAGCTGTAGGTTTTAGCCGAAAAGCGAACCTTAAACGATACCAAAAAGGAAAGTTGAAGTCACAAAAGGATTTTCCAACCGACAAGCACATTTATAGTCGAACTTTGATAACAATGACCAAAACAAAGGGCGGTGAACATGAATAAAGCACGAAACCTGAGCCATGAGATTGAGATACAAAGTGGGACTCAAAACAATACTTTAAATTTGCTTACTAAAAAGGCATATCATCGACGTAAGTGCCAAATGATTGTTAGACAGAAAAACGTAGGATATCATAACATTCGTAAAAAAGACTGATAAAAGGGCTGGAACACTAATTTCAACATCTAACAAAAGCTGTAGCGAAATAAGGAAATAGAACAAGCGATAATGTGTGTTGCAGACAGCAATTACAAATAAATTTAACAAGTACAAACAAACATAAATTTTGCAACCAGAACAGAGGGTTGTCATCTAAAAATGGTAATTACCCCTTAAGTGGCCTTTGAGAAGTAAGAGCATACATTAAAAATGCATATCGGAATCAGAGATTTGAACTTAATCGGTGTTAGAAATTCAGGGGGAAACAATAGCGAGAGCATAATTTTATGAAATTGGTACTAATTCAACTCTAAAGTGGAAGGACAGCACATTTGCATACCTATAAAGGAGGTCATTCCGTGACTTGTCGATAAGCGTTGGTATACCATTATCATTCCAAGCTGAAATACAGAAGAGGGATTTATCTTCTATCAGGAGAGGTGCAAGTGAGTTGAAGTAGTCGAAAAAATCGGGCGCTACATCTAGATCGTCCTCAACGATGATTGTTAAGTTGTATTTGCGCTCATCAAACATCTGACCCAGGGACCATTTGTAATTGCGTGATATTCTATAGTAACCTGAAATAGCAGAATACACGAGGGTGTAAGCGCTACTGAGATGCTATATGGTACTACATGATGCAGCCGTAGCAAACGCAATAATGTCAGACGATAACCAAAGCGCATCATGAAGGTCTAATTCACATTATTAGAGCGATGGCTACACAAACATCATGAAAGATCAAAAATACGTCTGCACAATATATGAAAAGTGAGGCCAAAATACACATCTCCTGGAATATCAACAAAAGAGTGAAATAAAACCAGACTGAGATAATTCATAATAAACTTGTAAAGAGGGAAGATAAAAATGTTTTGCCAAAAGTTGATTAGCTCAGAACCGTACTGTGCTTAGGGGGAGCATAGAATAGAAAACCAAACGTCGATTCAAATAACACTACTAGGAGATTCAAACGAATGCGTGGCGATATACGTCGAAAAATCAAATGCCTTTTTAGTGAATAGGTACCATACGAAACGGTAGAAAGAAAGATCAAAGAGATGAAATCCCAAATATTTTGATTTCAGGATATATCATTTAGTAATAACAAAAGACCTTTGCTGAACTTTGCAAGGGTAAATAAGCCAAGGTGAATCAATAGGTTCCCTGGAAGATATGTACGACATTACACTAATAAAAGTTCCTCTAGAATAAAT